GTGTGTGTTTCTGGAGCTGATTGGAGATGGGAGGCATCTGGCCAGAGTCTCCAGTAGAGTTTACTTGAGAGCTGCCTTCACCTGGAGGGAGTCTCTCCCCATTCTTCCCCTTTAGGGTTTTTCTTTTGATTTAGTTATTAATAAATTATTTTAAGTTACGCTTGCTTCCCCTTTTATTTGCTATGGTTTTGGGGGCTCGTCCAATGGGAGTTCACTTTGATGGTGAGTTTCTTAAGAACAAACATTTGTAATGTTTATAGATTATTTTTGTTTTGCATCTTTTTTATTAGCAGAGAGGATGTCAAAAAGGTTAGTTTAAGTTCTTCAGGGAAGCTTGCAAGTAGAATTTATTTAGTTTTGTATATTTTGTGTTAGTTCTGTTTAGAAATGCCATGTTAGGTAAGTGTTGACTGCTGTAAATCTGTGAACAATAACCAACATTTTTAGTTAATTTAAACTAACTCCTCTGTTGCACGTTTCCTACTTTAGGATTCGTGAGCTGGAMAGTGTTACTGTGAGGTCAAATGGTTGGAGCAGTTGTCTCAGGAGCACAGCCATAGTTCTGATAGGTTGCCAGCTTACTGGTCACCTTGTCACACTACTGGTACATAGTGCATAAATACCCACCATCCCTGGCCTCTGAAGATAGGGTCGAGTTAGTTAGACTAGGTTAGTGCAGACTTGTATGCTGCTGGTGCTACACAAGATTTGTCTGTTACAAAAAAAGCCTGCAGTTTTTAGTTGACGACCTGTTGGTTCTTAGTCTGATCTTGGAGTTCATGGTGGTGCGCATGAGTTGGAAGACACCTGTAATTTCTGTCATAGAAAGGGTCACTGGAAGAAGAATTGTTGGGTGTTGAAATCCAAAAAGACAACTGACTCACAGGTGAAACCAGCTGCATTTGCTGCACCAGCTCCTACTTTGAAGGCTTCAAATATGTCAGGTGTTGATCTCTCTACTACTGAAAAACTATTTGAGTTCATACACAACATTTCTGATGAAAGGATATGTCTCGTTAGTGGGGAGTAAAGCTAATGTACCTGTCACAATATTACGTTATACAGGAGCATATGATTCATTTATTCTCTCATCCGTTTTACCTTTTTCTGAAGAGACTGACTCAGGATTATCTATACCAGTGTTGGACATGTCTGTTTTTCATGTTCCATTGCATAAACTGATGTTCTATTCAGAGATGTTTGATGGAGAAGTGTTGATGGGGGWGCGTTCTGCTTTACCTGTTGATGCTGTTACAGTAACCTTGGGAAATGGTGTAGCTGGGGGAAAGTTTGGCCTGATCAATCTGAGGTGCCTATACTGACCTCAGTGCCTTTGGTTAGTAGTAAACCTGATGAGAATGGGGGAAAAAAACAATCCTGATGTGTTTCAGGCTTATGCAGTGACACGTGCCATGGATGTAGCCACTTCTTTGGACTTTGATCAGGAAAGCTCTGATTCTATTGATAACCCGTCAGTGTTTTCACTGTCTAAAATTCCTTTGTCTGTTTCGCAGAGTGACATGGTGAAGGAGCAGAACTCTGATTCTACACTGCAAGAGTTGTTTCATTCTGCGGTACCTCTGGAAGAAGTGAAAAATAAGATGCATGGGTGTTTTGCACAGAATGGGATATTGTTAAGGAAGTGGGTTGGATGCAGTGAGATACTCATAGGAGATCCAGTTTATCAAGTTGTGGTCCCTTCAAAGTTGCGCAACTCTATTTTGCGCATGTCTCATGATGAATCTGGACATATGGGAGTCAGGAAGACATATGATCATCTTTTGAGACAGTTCTTTTGGCCTGGAATGAAAACTGATGTTGCTGCTTACATTAGAACATGTCATACTTGTCATTTAACAGGTAAGCTCAACCAGACAAGGAAGGTGGCACCACTGTATCCTATTCCAGCTGTTGGTGAACTGTTTGAGGACTTGATTGTTGACTGTGTGGGTCCTCTTCCTCCTTCACGTTCAGGGGCAATGTATTTATTGACTGTAATGTGTCGAAATACAAGGTATCCAGCAGCATATACAATGCACAACCTTACAACTAAGTCAGTAGGACGGGCACTGTCTTGAGTTTATTTCAATTTTTGGGATACCAAAAATTATTCAAAGTGATCAAGGGTCAAACTTCTCCTCCCATATGTTTGCTCAGGTTTTAGAGCAGTTGCATATTAAACACAATGTATCCACAGCATATCATGCACAAAGCCAAGGAGCACTGGAACGTTTCCATCAGACTTTGAAGTCCTTGTTGCGTTCCTACTGTGTTCAGATGAAGGCTGACTGGGAGGAAGTGTTGCACTGGATGTTGCTGGCAGCAAGAGAGGTCACACAGATGGCACTGTGTTACCAACACAAACTGGATGTGCCACCTCTGAAGAATCTTCCAARWMATGAACATGATATGGTTTTAACAAACAGACATGAAACAACTGTTGTTTGCAATGACCCGGTGTAGCAATCAGATATTTCTGTTCCGACAGCTGTTTCACTACAGTGTTTGGACCAGTGAACTTTGCCTGAAATGTTCAAAAAGAAAAAATAAGTAGGTCCTCTGGATTGGTTCTTCTTTAGTGAAATGTTTCATCTCTCCTCCAAGANTCTAACATGTCAGAGGCTGTAGGATGATAAAAAAAACAATAAATAACATCAAACAGCTATCTTCCAACCTGTTCCGCTGCTAGAAATAAGTTTTGAACTTTTTCCGCTCTCCTGCCTCGCAGTGG